GGCCTCAAATTCTCTATGAAGCAGGAGCTGGCCTTGAATTTCTGGTCCTCTGGCTTTCACCTCCCAAGTGCTGAGATCACAAGGGTACACTATCATACCCAGCTCACGCGTGGCTTTTATAACTAAAAACACTAATACTACAGGGGGAAAACCATATCTAGCAAACCACAATTTCAGTCAGTCTTGCTTTTCTTTGTCATCTGCAAAGGTCTATGAAATGCTTTGTACAGCCGGTGCTAGATCCAGGCATTGTACAGCCAGTGTGAGTTAGACACAGGCAAGAACATCTCTCTTTCCATTTAGGGCGAAACTGAGAAGGGGTTGAGCAAACCCTGCTGTAGTCTTGAGTCGAGACGAAGCCTCCACCCTGCCCTTACCCACCGCAGGGAATGCGCTGGATCACTGACTTCTGAACCCCAAGAGAGACAAGTCCATCTGGGTTGGAGGCTGCCGAGGAGTTATCGCAGTCTATCTGGCTACCCTTGAGGATGGCAGCCAGCAAATGACTCTTAATTAAAGAGGCTGCATCAAGGGGACTCAAAGCTCTGACTCACAGGGTTCCAGACCTACAGAGACAAGAATAAAAAAGCTGTCGGTATGGGTGAGAAGCAGGAGGTGGCCCATTAATGAGAGCCAGTGATGACAGAGCTCACAAAACAAGAAAATTAGAAGTGAAGGAAAGATTGTATTCACAGGTAGCTGTGAAAGACAAAGGTGCCAAATAGGTTTCTCTCATCATCAGACAGAAGTGTGAGATTTTTTTTAAAGCCAGTAATTGCAATAGAGACACTTAGTTTTCTTTGTCATTAAGGTGGGGGGTGGGGGAGAAGGGTAGGATAAGGGTAGGAAAGGTTTGGCTGGCTGAAAATCACATCGGAGGGGGTAAATTGATTTACAAATCAATCCTAAGAGACAGAGGGGTTTAACTGTTCTGTGTGTCTCTGTAGCCTTATCAAAGAAGAGAAAACTGAAAATGTGTGACATTTATAGTTTCCCCTTTCCCACTCACGTGGGCTTAGAATTTGTACTGATTCCTTTCCTCACTGCTGCTACAAAGTATCTGCCAAAGCGACTCAGAGAAGGAAGGGCTAACTTGGGCTCCGAGTTGTGCTAACTTGCACTCACAGGTGGAGGGATACAGTTCACAATGGCGGTGAAGGCGTGGAGGCAGAAGCACCAGGCAACCGGTCATACCGCATCCACAGTCTGGAGCAGAGGGCTGAGCTCTAAAATCTCAAGTCCTTCCCCCAGTAACACACCTCCTCCCAGGAGGCTACCCCTCCTAAAAGTTCAAGAACATTCCCAAACAGCACCATTAGCTAGGGAGCAAACCTGTGAACCTATGGTGGATATTTCACATGCAAAGCAGAATCTAAACCTTCTACGTTGTAATTAGATTGCAGTAATTACCAACCTTTGGTTTGGTGTCTCAACCTCCAAATATCCTTTTTAAAAAAAATTGCAAGAAAGTGTCCTTTTTCTGGGCTGGTGAGGTGGCTTCAGTGGGTAAAGACACTTGTTCTCAAACCTCGTCTGATTTCCCATGTCTAAAATCCAAACAGCAGAAGGAGAGGACCGTTAAGGTCTGCGGGAAGTCCCATAAAAGACCACCAGTCATGTATGCAATCAACAAGAACATTTAATTAAAGAAAAATTCCAGCATGCTGGGGTCAAACCATCTGACAAAGGGGCAAACAGTGACCCTGAGAGAAGCTTGTGGGCTCCTTTTAAGCAGGATTAGGGGAGTTCCAGGAAGGGGAAATTAGTCTGGGGGATGATTGGTGGGTTTAAACAACAAGTTTACAGGTTGTTATAGGATTGGCAGGTGGTTCTAGTTGTTACGGACTTTCTAGCAGCAGGGTGGGGAAAACTATCTTTAGCTAGCAGACGGCTGTGGGGCACCTGCTGATTGGTTACCCCTGAGCTGTGGTTTTCCAAGAACTGCTTGCTCAGTTCCAGTAAACCAAAACTGAGGCCCGGTCTCTGGCAGGGCTATAGGAGCCTGTCATGGCCCTGGTCTGGCTCCCCAGCCCTCTCAAGGACCAACTTCTGCAAGCTGTCTATACGTGTGTTGTATCATAGGTACCTACCTTGACCACACACAAACAAACAAATGAATACGTAAATAATGTAAGTCAGAGGTTGGGGGGAGTGGTCAATTCTAATTGGTTTGCTAAATTTAATGCAGTCATTATTTGAAAATGGATTTGTCTATAGCTGGGAACTTGCTGTGTTCCTTATGGAAATCAAAGCCCCACCACGTCCATTATCCAAAAGCCCATCTCTTTAGAATGACTTCTGCTACTTGGTAGCTGCTGCAATAACCATCAGTTTCAGCGGAGTAAATAAGGTAACAATCGGTGTGTTCGTCATGACTCTTCAAGAGAAATTAATGACAAGAGCTGCCACTGGAGTGACTGGTCTGCCAGGGCCTGAGCAGGTATCCAGACCATGAAACTCCTCATTTTAAAATGAGTCATTCAAGGGCAAAAAAGAAGTTGGTCCCTTTATTGTAAGCAACACATTGAAGGTCTCAAACATCTGGGAAGCAGACGTTGTTTCCTTGTTTCTCAGGTAAAGGACTGAGACTCAAGCTAATGCACACATCCAGCGACTCTACATGGTGGCAAAGCCTATGCCAAGGCCCAGCTTGTGAGGCCTGCAGTGTGTGTCCTGTGTGTCTGGTCTACAGACTGCTGTGTGTGTTCTGTGTGTCTGGTCTACAGACTGTGGTGTGTGTCCTGTGTGTCTGGTCTACAGACTGTGTGTGTGTTCTGTGTGTCTGGTCTACAGACTGTGGTGTGTGTCCTGTGGGTCTGGTCTACAGACTGTGTGTGTGTCCTGTGTGTCTGGTCTACAGACTGCGGTGTGTGTCCTGTGTGTCTGGTCTACAGACTGCAGTGTGTGTCCTGTGTGTCTGTTCTACAGACTGTGTGTGTGTCCTGTGTGTCTGTTCTACAGACTGTGTGTGTGTCCTGTGTGTCTGTTCTACAGACTGCAGTGTGTGTCCTGTGGGTCTGGTCTACAGACTGCAGTGTGTGTTCTGTGTGTCTGGTCTACAGACTGTGGTGTGTATCCTATGGGTCTGGTCTACAGACTGTGGTGTGTGTCCTGTGTGTCTGGTCTACAGACTGTGGTGTGT